GTTATCTCTGAGGTACTAGTGGGTGTTTCACTGGGATACTAGGAAGGGTGTTATCGTCTGAGGATACTAGTGAGGAGTTATCACCGAGGATACTGGAGGATGTTTTCATCTGAGGATTCTAGTGAGGATGTTACATCTGAGATACTGTGAGGTGTTCACTGGGATTTTAGAAGGATGTTATCACTAGGATTTAGTGGGAGTTATCATTAGGATTCTAGTGGGATGTTTCATTGAGGATTCTAGTGGGATGTTATCATCTGAGGATCTAGTGAGGATGTTATCATCTGAGGGCACTAGTGAGGTGTTATCATCTGAGATATACGAGGATGTTATCTGGATACTAAATGGGTTTATCATCTGAGGTACTAGTGAAGAGTATCACTGAGATACTAGCGAGGGTTTTTCATCTTAGGGAAATAGTGAAGAGTTATACTGAGGATATAGTGGGAGTTATCATCGAGGATACTAGCGAGGATGTTATCATCTAGGATATAGTGGGATGTTATCAAAGAGGGTCAGTGAGGTGTTTTATCTAGGATGCAGTGAGGATGGGATCACCGGGATTTAGTGAGGATGTTTTCTGAGGGTACAAGAGGATTTATCATCTGAGGATACTAGTGAGGTGTTAACATCTGAAAAACTAGAGAGGATGTTAACATCGAGGACACTAGGGAATGTTACATCGAGAATACTAGTGGTATTCTCATCTGAGGATTTTAGTGAGGATTTATAACTGGGATTCTAGTGGGATGTTTAAATCAGGATATAGTGAGGAGTTTTCATCTGAGGATTCTAGTTAGAAAGTTTTTAAAAACTGAGGGTACTAGCGGGATGTTATCATCGAGGATACTACTGAGGTGTTACATCTGAGATACTTTGAGGAGGTTATCATCTAGGTATAGTGAGGGTGCTATCATCTGAGATTTGGGAATTTTTTTCCTGAGGGTTTAGAGGGTTTTCATGTGAGGATTTATGAGGGTTTTTTCATCGAGGGTATAGGAGGATTTATCATCTGAGGATACTTGAGGATTTATCACTGAGGGTTCTAGTGAGGGTGTTATCAATTTAGGATACTAGTGAGGGTGTTGCATCAGGACACAGTGAGAATGTTATCATCTGAGAAACTATGAGGATGTTTTCACCGGGGTTCAGTGAGGTTTATATCTGACGATTCTAGGAGGAGTTAATCTGAGGATTCCAGGGGATGTTATATTTAAGGATATGTGAGGATGTTTTCACTGAGGGCACTATGAGAATGTTAAACATCTGAGAAAAAAAGTGAGGATGTTTCCTTTTGAGAAACTAGTGAGGAATTTTATCGAGGTCAGTAGGATGCTTTCATCTGAGGGTACTGGGGATGTTATCACTGGAATCTAGTGAGGAGTTTTTGAGGGTTTGTGAGGATTTCTCATCTGAGGGTTCTAGGGAGGATGTTATCATTGAGGATTCTAGGAGGATGTTATCATCTGGGATACTAATGAGGAGTTATCATTTGAGCATATAGTGAGGATGTTTTCAATGAGGGTACAGGAGGATGTTATCACTAGGAATATGAGGTGCTATCATTTGAGGATAAAAAGGGGATGTTTTCATCTGGAATACTATGACGGGTTTCATTTGGCATACAGTAAGGATTTTTTCATTGAGGAACTAGTGAGGATGTTTTTCTCGAGGATACTAGTGAGGATTATCATTTGAGGGTACTAGTGAGGATGTTATCATCTGAGAATCTGTGAGGTGTTTTCTGAGGGTTTTAGGGGGGATGTTCTCATCTGAGGATACTATGAGGGTGGTTCATCTAGGATAGTTAAGGATGTTACCTGAGGATAGTAGTGAGGTTTACACTGGGATCTACAGAGGATGTTATCATCTAGATAGTAGTGGGATGTTTTTTCTGAAGATACTACAGGGATGTTATCACTGAGGACACTAGGAGAATTTATCACTAAATATATGACGGGGTTACATTTGAGCTACTTGTGGGGGGTTTTTTATCTGAGGAAACTATAGGAGTTACACTGAGGGAAAATAGTGAGGGGGGGTTTTCCTGAGGAACTAGTGAGGATGCTATATCTGATGATGCTATGAGGTGTTATCCCCTGGGGAAAATAGTAGGGGTTTCTGAGGGTCTAGGAGGGGTGTTCTCATCTGGGTTCAGTGAGGATGTTATCATCTGAGGTTTAATAAGGGTGTTATCATTTAGGATTAGTGAGGATTTATCTCTGAGGATATTTTGGGAAAATTATCTCTGGGAAAGTAGTGAGAATGTTATATCTGAGAAACTATGCGGGTTATCATTTGGCATACTTTGAGGATTTTTCACGAGGATATGGTAGGATTTATTATCTGAAGAAACAGTGAGGATGTTATCCTGAGGTACTAGTGTTGATGTTTTCACCTTTGGATTTAATGAGGATGTTATCAACTAAGGGTACTATGAAGGGGTTATCATCTTCGTACAGTGAAAAATTTATCACCCCAATAAATGATTATGTTTTTCATTTTAGGGGCAAGAATGGTTTCATCTTAGAATATAGGGGGATGTTTTTCATCTTTGTATAATATTGAGGTGTTATTATTTTTGGGGGTTTTGGTGAATGTGTTATCTTTTTAAAATTCTAAAAGAGTTGTTATCATTTTAGGTACTAGTAGTTTTTTTCAACACTTAGGAAATATAAGGGGGTTTTTAATTTTTTGGGATTTAGTGAAGGTGTTATCATTTAGAATGCTAGTGAGAGTGTTATCATTTTAGGATACAGTGAGTGTTTTTCATCTTAGGATAATTTGGGGGAAGTTTCATTTTGGATAATTTTGGGGGTCACATCTTAGGTAAAAGTGAGGGGGGGTATTGTTTTAGGATTCCAGAGCGGATCTACTAACCACGAGTGTTTCCTCTCTTTTTTTAACGAAAAAGCAACGATTTTGTGGTTGGTCAAGGGTTTATTAACTAGATAATGGGGCATCATCCTATTCGCCCACATTTGTTATCGTACGTTGTAAATGCTCGTTTAAATGTCATTTAGCCCATTTCTCTTTTGAAAAGCCCCGCTCTTTCTAATTTCGTTATTATCGTGAAATTTCACGAAAAATGGATAATAACTTTTGGTTAAACAACCTAAACTAACAAAAAATACGAAAATTTAAAAAAATTTTTAAAGAAATTTTGGGAAAGCGAAACAAGGTTGGGGGTTATAAAAAAAGGCCGCCCCCCCAACTGGGGAAAAATTTTTTTTGTCTGATTAAGACCCGTGTCGGGGGACTATGTTCTGTTTCCTGACGGTGAAAACCCACCTTTCTGCAAAAACATGGCGGGTTTCCCTTCCTTTCTATAATTGGAAGGGTATACCCGATGCCCGTGAAGATCACTTGATCTTCACCAGCATCCTATTATTAAAAATGATACCTTCCCTTTCCCAAGCTAAGACCCCCACGGTTTAGCGTTTCCCCTGAATAACAACAAAATAAGATCGCACAACAGTTACTATTTCAAACCATTTTTCACACGGAAGAAATTAAGCCTAGGTAATTCTTGTCAATTCTTCCAGGAAGTTTGTCTAGGTTATATGTAACTGTAATTCACTCTAATTTTTATATATAAAAAATCCTTTTTCCAGCAAAGAAAAGGCTGTGTAAAGTAGACATCCTTCACCATCACTCACTCGGTAACCGTCTTTCCAGAAGGACACGCACCTTCACGATTCCATGATCTGCCGCAGCTCTCCTTTCGTGACTTACAAGGCGTAAATTTATTATGATGAAGAAAAACAGATGTTGCGCGAACATCTACATGTTTATCTGCTAAATTGCAATATCTTTTCACTGACGATGCGGAAACAAGACCAGGTATGGATTTGGAGACCTTGAGGTCGACGTGGGTAAGTTTATGTTGAGGGTCTTGAGGTTGTCGGCGCAGTTCATCGTCGAAACAAAAAAAAAATATTCGGGTGCTCAGCAAAAAATAATTCTCCAGATCGGCTGTATGTGTAAATATGGTACAAGTTCAGTACTAAGATATTTATTATAGAAACTTTCTGTTCACTGAGTGCTTTGATAAAACTCCCAGTGAGCGAAACACTTTCATTATGAACAACTTAGTCGTGTACTTGATTCTTGTCCATACACTTGTCGCTGTTTGTTACCATCATTGGTTACATCGAATGTGAAAAAAATTTAAGAGTTTCAGGCATTAGTAATCTGAAGCAAAGGCGCAAATGCCTAAGCCTCTATAATATAAGTAATATGTTGCAGTGCTCAGTATTTTTATGCTACAACTCTGCTCATCAACAGTAAGAACCGTATATTATGCAGGGCATATCTTGTGTACGTATTATAGAATTAATATAAATACACCGAGAAACATATATAGAAGGATGAGCAAAGTTAACACTGAGCACCAATGAGGAAAATTAGACACGTTTTTACAAATAGATGAAGTCATAGATGAAAAGTTTATGAATAAGGTTTTGTATATATCAAATCAATATATAACTCTTAACAATCGATTAAAATATGGCACACTTACATTAAAAAAAATGAGTAGAGTTCAAGATGAGGGGAAGAAACTCGCAAGCAGCATCACTGAAGCAAAATACCTCTGAAAAGTTTTGTGAATATTTTTGACAGATTCACGAGTGGATATAATTGTTAGGAATGTATGTCTCACTCGACTTAGTAAATCTATTACCATGCTGAGCCACAAGATCTTCAGTTTCAAATAAGTCTCGTCATCAGATAAGTATGCCATTACCTCACCACCTCCACCAGCACGGTGGTTGCCCTAATGAATTCAGTCCTTAAACACATATGATCCTTCAGAATCACATTCCATGAATCACTAGGACTTAATTGTTGACCTTCCTCCATGGTAACCGTCTCTTTTACCTATTTGTGATTACAAGTTTTAAGTTACAGGGGCAGAGCAGTGCTTGAGTGTATGACATGTCGAGGACGTTACAATGTATCCAACCCGAGTATCTTTCTCTCCTGATGACAATAGAAGCGGAAGCTGTGATGACGGGTCCCAGCGAGGTACACATTGAGGAAGGCTCCCACCTGGTCCTGGAGTGTTACGTACAGAATGCGCCAGTCCCTCCTGTCTACATCTTCTGGTACCACAACTACACTATGGTTAACTATGGCAGACAGGAAGTATTGCAAGTAAGTACCTACGTGTTGTGCCTATACTGAATGAGAGAAAGAATGTTGATCAGTGTGTATGTAATTGTTTACTTGATGTGGAGAGGGTGGGATCACTAGCTCTTGGTCCCGCCTATTTACGTTCTATCTACTCACTTGAAACCGCCTTGTCATATCTGTTTTTGAAGCTTGGTATGGAACCCACTTTAACTGTCGTTTCGTATATTACACGTTATTATCAGTCAAGCATTTACGAAAGATATCTGATTACCCTGATACTTATTTAAACACACGTCCTCTTGTTCGTGTTACATTCCTGGTAATTGTCTTATCCTCGTCTTTCCTGCCTGTCTCCCTCTTGTTTTGGTTCAAGAATCAAACTCCTCAATTTCAGCTCTTCTGTGATGGAATATCTAGTACTCTTTATTATTTACTCATAAACAGTTTCCCCCAGCTTAGACACTTCTTAGGACAGTCTCCAGTTTCTCTTTACGTTTCACGTCAGAGGACTGATGCGGAGTAACAGGTGTTGTGTACTTACTGGCGTAGAGTAACAGGTGTTGTGTGCCTACAGGTGTGGACTGACAGATGTGTACCCACAGGCGGGGAGTAACAAGTGTTGTTGCGTGCCCACAGGAGGGGAGTACCAGGCGTTGTTGTGTACCCACAGATGAGGAGTAACAGGTGTTGTGTACCCAAAGGTGGGAAGTAGCAGGTGTTGTGTACACAGGTGGGAAGTGACAGGTGTTGTGTTCCCACAGGTGGAACATCACAACTACACCAGTAGTCTCGTGGTGGAGCGGGTCAGGACCTCACATGCCGGCACCTACAGCTGTCAACCACATTTGGCAACGCCTGCCAACGTCACCGTGCACGTCGTCACAGGTGAGTGTGACGCGTGACTGGTCAGTGTGACTGACAAGTATCCTGCGTGGTTCTCAATAACATCCTTATCTATCTAGATTTCCGAATGCCACTCTTACCTATCACCATGGGGAATTCTGGTGATAGGTTAGGCATGATGTTAACCCCTGGATCTTTCTCAAAATAATGGCTTCTTCCTCAAGTGATACATTTTATCTGGTTTCCCTACCTCCCTAAGACCATTTTCATCACTTCTCTTTTGCTGGTGGTGGTGTCTGATTCGTCAAGAACCAAACAACACCACCAGCGACGTTTTTGACGTATGATGACGTATTCAACCATTGAGTATGATGATCCACTCAGTGTTAAGTGACTCTTGTCGTAACAGAGCCAATGCTTTCCACTCGGATGACCGCACTGTGGTGTCCCTGGATATTCATTGACCAGGCTTCCAGCAGACACTCTTACGAAGGTTCCATTAGCCAGTCCAGATAGTCTTGCAGATGATGAGTCCGCATCAGACTGATTTACCACCATTAGCTTTGCGTCAGCTGCTAAGATTTGCTTTGCGTCATTAACGAACATTACCTTTGTCTCGACTGCAAACATTTGCTTTGCGTCATCAACAAACATTAGCTTTGCATCAGGTGCGAACATTTGCTTTGCTTCATCCGCGAGTATTAGCTTTGCTTAAATTGCGAGTATTTTTGCGTCATCAGCGAATATCAGCTTTGCGTCAGCTACGACCACTTGACGTAACTCACGACCTCCTGGAAGGTCGTTACTCATTCCAGGAACAAAGTGAGTCACAGAGCAGAAGGTCGTGGGTGTCCAGCTCCTTCCGTCCCTACATTCATATTCGTTCCTCACTACTTAGATCGTTCTCACACCATGCGTGAGAAACTTACCGATATTTACATCATGTGCACTCGCCGAGACAACCCGCTGCCAGATGTGTCACTGCCTTTTTAAGGTTAAGTTTAAGGATAAGTTTAAGTTGGTTCATTGAACCAACTCAAACTTATCCTAACCTAACCCAATGTAACCTAATCTGACCCAAGCTAACCTAAAATAAAAAAAAAATATGTATTCAGGGTACGTCCACAAACTGACGCTGGGTAATGCATGTGAAAATGAACGGTGTGAAATGAAGACGGAAGGTAACACGACTCTCTTTTCCATTGTGAATATGATAATGATATACAGAACAGATAAGTTGATATGTAAGACACATGTGCAACAGTTAGGTATCTTTATTCCAAAATTCTTCGCTACACTGTAGGTTTCTTCAGTCGAATATAGAGGAGGCAGCAGAAGCAGTAGAGATGTAAAGACGATGTAATCAGTCCATCACCCTCAAAGAGGTAGTTTTGAGGTGAGTCCCTCAGTCTGGAGAAGTGCTCTGCTCTTTAGTCTGGAACATTATTCCTGATGCCAAACTGTTTCACACGTGTCTACTTATCTATTTTCCATTATTAATGTATTGTTTTATCCGTTTCTTTACAGTCCCCTATACTTTTGCCTGTCTTTTTAATTCGTTCATGGAGCACCGTGACTATGACGTCTTTCCGTGTCTATTCTCTATAAGAACGTCACAAAGTTCTTTTGGGCTTGTATTCCTGGAGTATACCTGGAGTGGCTTTCGGGGGTCAACTCCCCTGCGGCCCGGTCTGAGACCAGGCCTCGTGGTGGATCAGTGACTGATCAACCAAGCTGTTACTGCTGGCTGCACGCAAACTGACGTACGAACCACAGCCCGGCTGGTCAGGTACTGACTTTAGGTGCCTGTCCATTGCCCTCAGGAAAACAGTCAGGGGTTTATTGGTAATCCCCCTCATGTATGCTGGTAGGCAATTGAACAGTCTTGGGGCCCTGACACTTACTGTGTTGTCTCTCAGTTTACTCGTGGCGCCCCTGCTTTTCATTGGGGGAATGTTGCATCTCCTCCCGAGTCTTTTGCATTCATAGGGAGTGATTTTCCTGTGCAGGTTTGGTACTATTCCCTCTAGGATTTTCCAAGTGAATATTATCATGTATTTCTCTCGCCTGCGTTCCAGGGAATACAACTCAAGGGACTTCAACCGTAATATAGGTACTTTGTTATACTTATGTACGCCGTGATAGTCCTTTGTACACTCTCCAAGTCAGCAATTTCACCTGCCTTGAAGGGGACAATTAGTGTACAGCAGTATTCCAACCTAGAGAAAACAAGCGATTTGAAGAGAATCATCATGGGCTTGGCATCCTGTGGCATGCAAAGAGTACGTAACCTTTATTCGGCGCATGGACACACCCTCATTTACAGGCTATCTCCCCCAACCAGCGAACCAGGTTGCTAAGAGTTGGTGATGGGGCCCCATCGTTCAACTAGTGACCAGGTTCTAGCCAATAAGAAGGTGGGATTGGCAATCGCAGAGGTTATGTGGATACCGCTCTCCTGTCTGCCCTTGTCATTCCCATTCTAGAGCTGGTTGAGCACGGTCTGCTATCTTGTGGCTTCTATTTCTGCCTTGCTTACCGTGACGTGCACTATACTTATTACTGTACATAGTGTACATATTGCTGTTCTAAATTGGTGAAGGATAATATAAGTCTAAACTTTTTCTGTTGTGTTTCTTTTGCTCCCATTACACCTGGGATAACAGGCCTTTGAAATCCTAGGTTGTAATACATCCCTAGTTTTGAAGGTTCTCGTTATTCATCTTATAATTTTTTTGGCAAATGCGGTAGATACATTGTTGTGGTCTTGAAAGTGAGATCCTCTGACATTATCACTTCCGGGTCATTCACATTACTTTTTCGCTCTGTTGTATGGTTAGAATTTTTGTATACCCTAATACAGTTTTAATTTCCTCAAGTTTTCCACATCTGAGTAGTAGAAATTTCCCTTCACTGAATTTCATATTGTTTTGAGTGACCCATTTGAAGATTTGGTTGATGTCCGCTTGGAGTCTTGCAGTGTCTTCGAAGGAGGTCACTGCCATGGTAATTCGAATGTCATCCGCAAAGGAAGACATGGAGCTATGACTTATATCTCTGTCTATGTCAGATATGAGGTTGAGGAATAGGATGAGAGCGAGTACTGTGCCTTGTGGAACACAGCTTTTCATCATAGCTGCCTAAGACTTTACTTTGTTTACTATTCTTCTTTGTGTTCTGTTTGTTTGGAAATTATAGATCCATCTACCAATTTTTTCTGTTAGTTCTTTATCACGCATTATGTGCGCTATTACACCGTGGTCGCATTTGTCGAAGGCTTTCGCAAAGTCTGTGTATACTATAACTGCATTTTGTTTACCCTCTATAGGATTCAGGACCTTGTCATGGTGGTCCAGTAGCTGGGACAGGCAGGAGCGACCTGCTTTAAACCCGTGTTGTCCTGGGTTGTGTAATTGATGGATATCTAGGTGGTTGAAGATCTTGTTTCATAGAACCCTCTCTAAGATTTTTATGATAAGGGATGTTAGTGCTATCGGTCTAGTTCTTTGTGGATGAGGAATTTCTTTTTCTGAAACCAGGTTGTTTTCTGGACACTTAGGGAAAACACAACTCGTGTTCCCATTGTTTATTTCGGTACTATAGTTTTCCCAACAATGTTACATGGGTTCTGGTCATAACGTTGCATGGTTTCTGGTCATAACGTTACATGGTCCTGGTCATATCGTTACATGGGTTCTGGTCATAACGATAATGGGTTCTGGTCATAATGTTACATGGGTTCAGGTCATAACGTTACATGGGTTCTGGTCATAACGTTACATGGGTTCTGGTCATAATGTTACATGGGTTCAGGTCATAACGTGTGAGGGAAAAGTTCAATAGATAGGAGTAGCGAGGGAGTATATAGTAACAATAGTTTCATTGCCGGCTACTTGTTAAGGTAGGGTAAGTCCAGCTCCGGCTATTCCCTCCCCCCCCTTTTTCCCCCTCCCGGAAAGTGATAGTTTGATTGCCGGCTGCTTGTTAAGGTAGGGTCAGTCTAGCTCCCGCTATCCCTTCCCCTCCCTTCTTCCCCCCCCCCCCCGAAAGGTGACGTGTGGGGCTCCGGTCAAACAGTAAATCACTAGACTCACAGCTCCCAACACTACTCTTGAAATGACAGAGAGGGTCACCTGCCAATCAACGAGTAGAATTGAAGGAGACGGACTAACGTTCTGAGACGTCCCAATTTCTGATCCACTTACCTGTTTGTGTATGCAAGTAGCAGGATATAACCCCTCACCATTGCAGTGGTAAAAAACCTGCTTTCCTGTCATCTGGACGGATTATTGACGGCTATAAAATCTGTGAAGAACGAGCCGATGGGTTGTCATCAACACCTGCGACCCCCCCCATCATCATCGGCAACGGCTACGATTTCAACAACACGCAGTGTCACCAACACCAGACACCCAAGTTTTATATGTATATATTAGCGTTGAATTCAGATATTTATATTTTTTTATTTTTCATTTTCTTTAAGGTAGGATTAATATTTCATATTTAAGTGTTTTATATTTTATATTTTCTAAATAATAAAGTGTTTATGTTTGTCAGTTTTTGTTCTTTTTCTATTCATTAACTTTCCTGAGGAGGAGCCAGCCTTGGTAATACTGTCTGAAGTTGTTACAGGGCTGAGTAAGCCTTCACATAATGTTACATGGGTTCTGGTCAGAACGTTACATGGGTTCTGGTCATAATGTTACATGGGTTCTGGTCATAACGTTACATGGGTTCTGGCCATAACGTTACATGAGTTCTGGTCATAACGTTACGTGGGTTCTGGTCATAACGTTATATGGGTTCTGGTCATAATGTTACATGGGTTCTGGTCATAACGATACATGGGTTTCTGATCATAACGATAATAGGTTCTGGTCATAATGTTACATTTGTTCTGGTCATAACGTTACATGGGTTCTGGTCATAATGTTACATGGGTTCAGATCATAACGTTACATGGGTTCTGGTCATAATGTTACATGGGTTCTGGTCATGTTACATGGGTTCTGGTCATAACGTTACATGGGTTCTGGCCATAA